GGGGGAGGATGTAGGAGGAGTCGTCGTCGTCGGAGTAGGAGGAGGAAGACGAGGAGCAGGAGGAGGAGCAGGAGGAGGAGGGGGAGGAGGAGGAGGAGGAGGAGGAGGAGGAAGATGAGGAGGAGGAGATGGAGGAGGGCGAGGACGAGGAGGACGAGAAGGAGGAGGAGGAGGAGGAGAAGGAGGAGGCGGAGGAGGGGGAGGGGGAGGAGGGAGGAGGGAGAAAAAGAGGAGGAGGAGGAGGACAATGGCGAGCTTGGGGGCCTCTTGGGCCGTCTTTGGGGCCTCTTGGCGGTCCCGGAGGCCTCTTGCGTATCTCGGGGAGCTTCTTGTGGCCTTTTGGGAGTCTCTTGGAGGCCTCTTGGAGGCCTCTTGGGGGCCTCTTGGGGCCTCTTGGGGCGCTCTTGGGGCGCTCTTGGGAGCTTTCGGGGCGCTCTTGGGGCCATCTTGGAGGAGATCTATCAAAGAAGGGGGGGTTGCTTATTAGCGTTGCCCCTCTAGAGTGCCTCGAATCGCCTCTTGGGCCTTCCTAGAGGCCAAATTCCGTCCAAAACCTAAGGAAAATCAATGTTTTTTGCTTTCTCGCCTTTTCGCTCTTGGAGCCGTCTTGGGCCATCTTGGGAGCATATTTAGGCCTCTTGGGGATCTCTTGGGAGCCTCTTGGGGGCATCTTGGGGGCCTCTTGGGGCCTCTTGGGGCCTTCTTGGGTTGCTCTTGGGGCGCTCTTGGGGCAATCTTGGAGCGCTCCTGGGCGCTCTTGGGGCCGTCTTGGAGCTCTCTTGGGCTTCTCTTGGTGCCTTCTTGGGCCATCTTGGAGCCATCTTCAGGCCTCGGATGGCCATCGGAAGCGAAAAAGCGAGAAAGCCAAAAACGTTGATTTGCAGAGTTTTGGATGGATTTTGGCATCTTGGGAGTCTCTTGGGATCATCCTGGAAGCCTCTGGGGCGCTTCTTGGAGCCTCTTGGGGCCCCTCTTGGGGCGAGCGGGGGAGCATGCAGAAGAACAAAGGGCGGGGTGAGCCGCCATATCCCCCAAGAGGGGGAGGATGTAGGAGGAGCCGTCGTCGTCGGAGTAGGAGGAGGAAGAGGAGGAGTAGGAGGAGGAGCGCGAGGAGGAGCAAGCGGAGGAGGAGAAGGAGGATAAGGAGGAGGATATGGAGGACTGCGAGGACGAGGAGGACGAGAAGGAGGAAAAGAAAAAGGAGGAGGAGGGGGAGGGGGAGGAGGGAGGAGGGGGAGGAGGGAGGAGGAAGAAAAAGAGGAGGAGGAGGAGGACAATGGCGAGCTTGGGGGCCTCTTGGGCCGTCTTTGGGGCCTCTTGGCGGTCCCGGGGGCCTCTTGCGTATCTCGGGGAGCCTCTTGCGGCCTCTTGGGGGTCTCTTGGGGGCCTCTTGGAGGCCTCTTGGGAGCCTTTTGGGGCCTCTTGGGGCCCTCTTGGGACGCTCTTGGGGCGCTCTTGGGAGCCTTCGAGGCGCTCTTGGGGCCATCTTGGAGGAGATCTATCAAAGAAGGGGGGGTCCCCAATTAGCGCTGCCCCTCTAGAGTGCCTCGAGTCGCCTCTTGGGCTCCCCAAGAGGCCAAAATCCTTACAAAACCTATGGAAAATCAATGTTTTTTGCTTTCTCGCATTTTCGCTCTTGGAGCCTTCTTGGGCCATCTTGGGAGCCTCTTGGGGCCTCTTGGGGGTCTCTTGGGAGCCTTTTGGAGGCCTCTTGGGCGCCTCTTGGCGTCTCTTGGAGCCTCTTGGGGTTCTCTTGGGGCGCTCTTGGGGCGCTCTTGGGTGCCTTCGGGGTGCTCATGGCGCCATCTTGGAGGAGATCTATCAAAGAAGGGTGGAGCTTTAATTAGCCCCGCCCCTCTAGAGTGCCTCGAGTCGCCTCTTGGGCCCCCCCCCAAGAAGCCAAAACCCGTCCAAAACCTACAGAAAATCATTGTTTTTTGCTTTCTCGCCTTTTCGCTCTTGGAGCCGTCTTGGGCCATATTGGATTCTCTTGGGGCCTCTTGGGAGTCTCTTGGGAGCCTCTTGGAGGCATCTTGGGCGCCTCTTGGGGCCCTCTTGGGGCGCTCTTGGGGCGCTCTTGGGGCGCTCTTGGGAGCCTTCGGGGCGCTCTTGGGGCCATGTTGGGAATATATATCAAAGAAGGGGGGAGCCTTAATTAGCCTCGCCCCTCTAGAGTGCCTCGGATCGCCTCTTGGGCCCCCCCAAGAGGCCAAAATCCTTCCAAAACCTAAGGAAAATCAATGTTTTGTGCTTTCTCGCCTTTTCGCTCTTGGAGCAGTCTTGGGCCATCTTGGGCGTCCCAACGCGTCGCGGAACGCCCCGTCCAGGTCAGTGGGGAGGGGTAAGGGGAGGGGTAAACCCCTCCCCGAAGGGAAAGAAGGGGGGTTGGCAGAGGAAACGCTCTAGACCACCTACGCCCTAAAGGGCTGGTGGGATTTCGTTTACTACGAGCGAGGCCTTCCGGCCACTGCTCATTTCCCCGGTCCCCCTTCGATTGGGGAAAACCCAGTCGAACCGGTGTTTAAACCATCGAACCGGGGAATAGAGCATTGCCGGCGGGGTCACATGGGAGGGGTCACGGGGGCCCCGCGGGGTAGATCACAGGGGTCAAAGGGATCCCGCGGGGGAGAGGTCACGGGGGTCACGGGGGGTTTCAGGCATTATAACGATTCCCGGAGGCTTGACGACTCGGCGAGTTGACGTGGAGGTTCCTTCGTTCCCGTTCGGTTCAATTTCGTTTCAGGCTCGTTCCGGTTCGGTCGTTCTGTTTTGGACCGATTCCGCATCAAAATCGGGGCCTGTTCGGTTCAGCCTGGTTCGACTGACAACTTGTTCGGTTCGATTCGGTTCGTGTTGATATTATTACCGGTTCACGCCGGTTCGGTTCGTCCTTTTTCGGTGCGGGCGGTTCTGTCTGGTTCCGGACCAGCGGCGCCACCGGGGCCACCAGCATAATTGCGAGAACCACGAGCCGAGCTGCACGGACACCGAACAGAGCTTCTAGCACCGCCAGCCGGGCGGCGACCTAGGCGCGCGATAACCAGTCCCTGCTCCTCGAGGACTGCCAAAACAGCTTCGAGAACCACCAGCAGAGCTTCAAGGGCCAACAAAACTACCGGGGCCAACTGCTGAGCTGCGAGGGCTGGCGTAGCTGCGAGGGCTGCCAGCAGAGTTCTGAGGGCCGCCCGGGCTGCGAGGGCAACCGGCTGGCCAGCTGAGCTGCGAGGGCCACGAGCTGAGCTTCGAGGTCGGCAGACCGAGCCGAGAGGGCCACGCATTGGGCTCTATAGGGCCGTGAGGAAGGCTACAAATTCCACGAGCTGGGCTACGCGTGGCACGACCTGGTCAGCAAGGGCCTCCAGCAGAACCAGCATCACCAGCTGAACGCCAAGGTCCACGAGCGGAGCCTCTAGAGCTCCTGGCAGGAACGAGGACCACCAGCCGAAGTACGGGGGCAACACGCCGAGCTGCGAGGGCCGCGAGCAGGACCTCGAGAGCCACGAGCTGAGCTAATTACGAGGGCCACCAGACATGGGCAAGGAGAGCGACGAGCAGGTCGAGCCCATCTTCACTATGTACGCCTCGCTCCAGGTGCTGGACTTCCTCATGCCCATGGTCGCCGACGGGGCAGGCAATCGCAGAGGCCTTCGCCACCGGAGCCATGTCCGAACTCACGGGCCCCGTGTGCAACGCGCCCCGCGACATGATGGTGCCCATAGGCATGAGCGGTGACCGCCGGTACGGGGACGGAGGCGCGAGGGTCCGCGGCTCGGGCCCCGCAGGAGCCATCAAAGCACTCCTTTCCGCCCGCGGCTATTATTAGGCGTACCGAAACGGAATGCATCTAGGGCAGCGACCCATGCCCCCCCCGCCACAGAAACATTGCTACGACAGAAGGAAGACGAGTGCGACGACGAGGACAACGAAATCGACGTGGAGCGGCAATAAAGCAGCGAAAAGTACAACACTTATTCAAACGAGGACAGGTGGAACGTTGAGTACTACGACCTGCGACGACTCCAGGGAGACATGGCGAGACCCGCCTGCCTGAAACTTGGGATCTTTTCGAGCTATGTTGGCGTTGCCGAGAAGAGCATTACGCGCACGTGCCACATTTGCGGCGCTACAGACAGGGTACCCCGTGAACAGCACTAGTGCCTGGTACTGCGTCTACGGCAGGTACATTCGCCACAGTTGGGTGGCTCCGCCGCTCCATCCACCTCCCCTCCTCCTTCGGTGGCCTCAGGATCCGTCAGTGCATGGTTTCCCTCTTTCCTCCCCCCGTCCGGAAGAGGTCCGCGTTCCAGCGTGGGCGCGGGGGCTCCGCGGGCAACGCGCGGGCCGCGCGGCCGCTCGCGTGGGCCATCGCGCTCAAGGGAACGCCCGGCGGCACTGCGTTAGGAAGGATGCAGGGCAGGAGATGAGGAGGAGGAAACATCGGAGGAGATGGAGGAGGAACAGGAGGAACAGGAAGAGGAGGAGGAGGAGGAGGAGGAGGAGGAACAGGAAGAGGAGGAGGAGAGGAGGAAAAGGAGGCGGAGGAGGCGGAGGAGGAGGAGGAGGAGGAGGACACAGGGGGATCGGGAAGAGGCACAAGACATGGAAAAGGGGTCCAAAGACCGGGGAAGGTCGAGGGTTCGCACGTGATGGCTGGACTGGAGAGCCAAAAGGTAGTATGGATCGTGGCGATGGTGGCGGCGATGGCACACGAGAAGGACAGAGAGAGAGAGAGCGAGAGAGCGAGATAAATATAGATAAAGACATAAATAAACAGAGCCGTGAGACAGAGGGGAGGAAGAGGAATAACGAGAGAGAGAGAGAGCGATAAAGCAACACAAGGAGAGAGAGGATAGAAGGAGAGAGGGGGAGGAAGAGAGAAGGAGGATTACCATAAGGACTATGAGGGAGAGGTTCAGGAGGAACGGAACGCATCTCTCAGAGGAGGAGGAGGAGGAGGGGAAGGAGAGTTCTGCGCGGAGGGACGCCCGCGGGGAAGCGAGGATTTGGCCGTCTGCAGCCAGTTTGACCGGCTGCTGGAGGGGAAGGGTGGGCCGTGTGGAGCATGCCGCCAAGGTGGTGGCAAGCTAATGATTGCCGCCAATTTGGAAAGGAGAGTGTGCAAGTGTTTGGCGTAGGTGTCAGCGGCGGCCTGTGCGTCCACTGCCGAACCAATCATGATCGCCCTCGGGGCTCATCTCTGACCATCTGCTCACATGTCGTTGTGTGCCCATGTTTTCCTTCCCGCTTTTTTCCCCGTCAAGGTCTCGTTATGTTTTTTCTTCCCCCATTTCTATTATTGATTCTGACACCCTCCTCTGTGCGCCCATTTTGGCTCAAGATGAAAAGGAGATATTGCTGTTCATCGGCATATTATCTCATCATGGTAGCGTGAGCTGGCCACTCACTGCTGCCGACCCCACCCAGGCCTCGGCGCGCCGCGGCCGCGGGCGCCACGGCGAGCCGGCAGGAGGCTCGAGACTGGAGCAGGGCGGCATCGACCGCGGCAAGCTCGGCAGCGACCGAGCGACCGGCAGGGGCCGGGAAAGGCGGCCGCAGGCGCGGCAAGCGGAGTGAGGCGGCGATCGAGACCAGGCGCAGGGCACTCCAGTACAAGCACGACCTGAGGGAGACTGGCAACAAGCTCAGTGACCTCGCGCACATCGAGGACCATCCTTCGGAGAACTCATCAGACGTCGTCGAGAGAGTGCAGAAGGAAGTCCTCGGCAGGATCACGGACCTCGAGCGTACGAGGCAGGAGATAGCAGAGAGCCGGGAGGAGCTCGCCGAGAGACACGCTGTCAAGCATGGACGAGCAGGTTCGGCAGCAGTTCGAACTGCTGAGGCAGGAGTTCGCGGCTCAAATAAGCCAGGCCGCCGACGAGATGAGGAGGCTGGAGAGCGAGAATCAGCGGCTTCAGCAGCAGGTGGCAGGAGGCCTCGCGGCAATCCCGCAGGCGATCGAGCGGATGGGCGAGCAGATCCGGGGGGCGTCGAGTATGGGCACAGCCGCTCACGGTCTCGTCGACACGAAGGGGATCGGCAAGCCCACGACGATGGGCGACGATCAAGAGAAGTTCGGCGCTTGGAATCGCAAGATGGAGAACTACGTGATCGGCGTGTACGGAGAGAGTTTTCGTCCCGTTCTTCGGTGGGCTGCAGAAGCCGAACGCCCCGTGACGATCGCGGGGGCTCAGGCGGCGCACGACGGAGTGCCAGAGCTGGAGACAAAGGTCAACCAGCTGTACGCGGCGCTGATCAGCACGACGGCGGACGGGAGCGAGAGCAACGACCTCGTGACGGGCGCTCCCGATGGGAACGGTCTCGAAGCCTGGCGGAAGCTCCACCGCAGGTGGGATCCGACGACAGGTCCGAGGAAGAGGCTGATCCTGAGGTCGATCATCTCGCCTCCGAAGTGCAGCGCGGACGAGCTGGGATCCGCCTTAGAGAAGTGGATCCAGCAGATAGGCAGGTACGAACGCCGCCAAGGAGAAGATGGTCTAGCCGAGCTGCCGGAGGATATCAAGATGGCGGCTCTCGAGATGCTCGTGCCTCAGGACATCGAGAACCACCTCGTCCTCAACAAGCATCGGCTCGAAACGTTCCAGGACAGTCTGAACGAGGTGATGACGATCGTGGAGGCTCGGACCGGCGTGAAGATCAAGGAGCCATCGATCCGTGCGCGGGCGCATCATCCGGACGACATGGACGTCGGGTCATTCGGAGCCCCGAAGGGCAAAGGCAAAGGCAAGGGCAAGGACGGCAAGAGCAAAGGGAAAGGCAAGACTCAGGAGCCGAAGGGGAAGAGCAAATCGACGAACGGATCATACTCAGGCTCCCGCACATCCCCGACGGGTTCGGGCCGTGGTTCAGGGCACACGGCACCTCGAAACACCAGCGGGCGCTTCGACGGCTACTGTCGGAACTGCGAGAGATGGGGCCACAAGGCATCCGACTGCTGGAAGAAAGAGCAGGGATCGAGTTCGAGGGCTGGAACTGGATCCGCAACGGGGGCAAGCGCTGGTGGTAAAGCCGGTAGCCGCGGCGGCAAGGCCGGCGGCAAGGCTGCAGGCAGCCTGGAGGAGGAGCCTGAAGCGGAGGTCGCCGCTCTGGACATGGGCAGCCTGGACTGCCTGGAGCTCGCCAGCGGCAGCGGCCGCGGCGTAGCGGCGGTCGATCTCTCTCCCTTCGCGCAGGACGACTGGATGAAGTTCAACTGGGACAGCGGTGCAGCTATCTCAGCATTCCCTCGGAGCTTCGCGCCGCCGACGGGAATGAAGGGCAACGGCAGCACGTATCGCACGGCCAGCGGTGAGCTCGTCCCGGACGAGGGCAGCTTGCAGCTCAAGGCGGAGGACGAGTACGGAGTGCTACGAGCGCTCAAGGGACGCGTGACGAACGTGCACAAGCCGTTGATCTCGGTGGGGCAGGCAGCAGGAGCTGGACAGTGTTCATTCCTGGGCCGCAATGGCGGCTGGATATTCCACGAGAAGAGCCCAATCGGCAAGCGCGTGGTAGGCATGCTCGAGAAGGAGGCGAAGGCGGCGAAGCACCAGATGCTGCCGGTCTATCGCGAGCAGGGCGTCTACAACTTCTACCTCAAGAAGGGCCAACATGGCTCGGTAGCTCCTCTCGAGGAGGGACTTTCGGCGAAGTCGAAGTCCGAGCTGGTGGAGCTCCTCAACGGCAAGTCGAAGGAGGAGCTGCTGGAGATCCTCGAGAAGACAGTCCCCAGGAGGCAGCCCTCGGCGTAAGCCCACTGGAGGACTTAATACCACGGCCCCCGGCGGCATCGGCTGCGGGGGCGGCAGCGGCGGGGTCGGGACCTTCCGACGTGAGACCGCCGGGTTTTCAGCCAGCGGCAGCTGCTGCGGCCGACGCTTTGCCAGCTGCTCCTGATGGACAGCAGGCCGACGAGGGCGAGGAGGAGGCTCGCCCGAGAGTGCTGAAGGCACCTCATGAGCCCTCTCAGAGGGAGATCGCCGAACACGAGGCGATGGGACACGCGACTTACCGCAGCTGGTGTCGCGTGTGTATTGCGGCAAAGGGCCAAGGCCAGCCGCATCTCCGCGCACCGGAGGACGACGAGACAGCGGTGCCGGTGGTCTCGTCCGACTACGCCTTCATGGGCCAGGACGACGCGGACACCATGCCGATGCTGGTCCTTAGGGATCGGCGCTCGAAGATGATGGCGGCGACATTCGTGGAGAAGAAGGGCGACGACGCCTACGCCATCAAGTTCTTCGCACGCTTCTTGCGGATCCTGGGCTACAGGAAGATCGTCAACAAGTCCGACGGCGAGCCAGCGATCCTGCTGGTCAAGAGGCGCGCGGTGGAGGAGGTTCCTGGCCTCGAGGCCATTCCCCAGGAGTCGGCACCGGCCGATCATCAGGCCAATGGGGAGATTGAGGTCACGGTGCGCGAGATCAAGAAGCAGGTGCGGGCGCTCAAGATGGACCTGGAGTCCAAGCTGGGCGTCAAGGTGGAGGACAAGCACCCGGTGCTAGCGCACCTGCCGGAGCACGCCGCATCGGTAATCAACCGATACCGGCGCGGCCAGGACGGCAAGACCGCTCTTCAGCGGCTCACGGGACGGCAGTGGAGGAAGCCGGTCCCGCTCTTCGGCGAACGCTTGATGGCGCGGTTCGCCGGGGAACGCGTGAGGAAGAACGCGCTGGAGGAGCAGATGGTGGAGGCTCGCTACATCGGCCACCACCCGCGCGACGGCTCGATGATGGTCATCACGAGCGACGGCGTGAAGAAGGCGGTCGGCTTCCGCAGCCTGCCGCAGAGCGAGAAGTGGATCACGGCGGGCTGGGATGGCCTGAAGGGCCTGCCGTGGGACGTGGCTCCGCGTGCGGCAAGCGCGCCGCGGGCCATCGTCGGACCTGGAGAGGTCGGTCCGTCACCAATTGTGGTGGTGTCGCCGCAGCCGCAGGCGCCGAGGAGGATGTACGTCCTCAAGGCGGACATCGAGCGGCTGGGCGCAACGCCGGGATGCCCAGGGTGCATCTCGATCGCTCGGCACGGCCGGGCGCTGGCTGGCCACGCGCACAACGCGGCGTGCAGCAAGAGGATCTTCGAAGCGCTGGACGCGGAGGAGGCAGGCCGGGAGAGGACCGGCCAGCATCGAGAGCGGAGGCAGGGCCAAGAGGCCAGAGTCCGACCGGCGGCATCGGCCGCGGCAGGGACCCCTCCGCCGAAGACGGCTCGGAGGATCACCGAGCCGGTGGCAGCGGCGGCAGCGGCATCGGCCGCGCCGGCCGCGACCCGCTCGGCAGCAGCGCCAGCCGTGGCAGCCACGGCGGCGCGCCTGCGAGAGAGCCAGCCGGTAGCACCGGGCTTCGGCGTGGCGGCTCCTTCAGGAGGAGCGAGCTCCAGTTCGGGAGCGGCGCGAGCGGCAGAGGCCGCCGCGGATGTCGACATGACCGCGGCTAGGTCGCGGCTGAAGCGCTCGGCAGAGGTGGCCCCGGATGATGTGCCGGAGGCCCTCGAGCGCGGTGATCCACAGCCGGCAGACGTGCCGGTACCGGTGGACATGGAGGATCTCGCGGCGCAGCCGGCGCCGGCGGAAGGACCTCAGCTGCCAGCTGGAGTGGCAGTCGTGTGGAACGCCAGTGAGGGGAGGCACATGCGGGCGCTCGCCCTCGATGCGGCGTCGATCGAGCTGGTCGAGCTCGGAGTGCTGACGAGAGCGAAGGCGGAGTTGCTCCCGCTCGTTCGCGAACAGGTCAGTGGCCATTGGGCCAGCGCCGGCGTGGACATCGCCGACGAGGAGGTGGACAGCATCGCCCTATCGGCGTTGCAGCTGGGCGCCGTGGACGTGGCCGAGGTGTACTCGCCACATCGGTTCTCGGCTCGGGCAGCGGAATTTCAGCTGCGCCCGGGCTTCGCGGCGGACCTGGAGGAACTCAAGGAGGACGGGGCGCCGTGGGACTTGCGGCGCCCCGAAGATGTCAAGGAGCTCGAGAAGCAGCAGGAGCGGATGGATCCCATCCTGCTCACGGGGTCCCCTCCATGCGAGAAGTTCAGCTTGCTG